TTTTTTTTGAGACAGAGTCTTATTCTGTCAGCCAGGCTGGAGCAGTGGCACAATCTTGGCTCACTGCAACCTCCACCTCCCAGGTTCAAGTGATTCTCCTGCCTCAGCTTCCCAAGTAGCTGGGATTACAGGTACATGCCACCACACCCGGCTAATCTTTGTATTTTTAGTAGAGACAGAGTCTCACCATGATGGCCCGGCTGGTCTCGAACTCCTGAGCCCACCTGCCTCAGCCTCCCAAAGTGCTGGGATTATAGGTGTGAGCCACCGTGCCTGGCCATTACCTATATATTTTTTTTTTATTACAGAAATGATACAGAATTGTCATAGAGAACTGAGAACACATAGCAGATCTTGAAAGAACTCAGCCTCTGAGATGTCCCTGTGGGAACAGCCATGGTCACTGGGGAGTGAGCAGCCTTCAGCAGCTCTCTCCAAGAACATGCATCATGTAGAGGCTCATCTGTGCCTCTGCTGCAAGGTTCCTCTGCAGGTTGTGCCTGGCCAGGCAGGGGTTAATTTATTCTCTCCATCCCCCCTGCCCCCATCCTGTCACCCACCATCCCATGTCCTGGGCTCACCTGGGCTCTGTGGAGTTCTAAGTCTGGGAGGAGCAGAGTGTACAGCCGAGCCCCAGGTGTGACTGTCTCTGGCACCTGAATCATTTCTGCAGTTGGCCAGAGTGGAGGTCAGGGAAGATCTGTTCAGGCCATGCCTGCCCACCCCTGCTGACAGCCTCACCTGGGCTGGCAAATTGACCAGCACACTGGATATGGCTAAGGTCCCAATGCACATTCACAGAGAGTGATCCCTCCGTCACATGGTTGCCACATGTGAACTTCAGCTGCAGCTTGTAGTGGTTCACCATAAGGGCATCCAACCGAGCAGAGCTGCTCAAGGTTAACTGGGGTAGGTGGGCAGTGCCATGTGGGGCTTGGAAATTTTAGGTCTGCCTTTGTGCCCCCACAGTCCCCAGTTGTACACATGACCTTACCTTGCCCACATAGGTCCCTTGCCACCTGGCCAAGCTGGGTGGGTTGAAGAAGGTGGTGGGTGGCTGGACATTGAGCAACTCCAGGGTGGGTGTGGACGTGTAGGAGGAGCAGTTGAAGGAGAAAAACTGAAGGATTGTGCCAGGGCCCTGGTTCTCAGAGACATTTATAAACCTGCAGAGGTCTGTGAAGAGCAGAGAATTCAGGTTGGAGGCCCCCAGGCTGATGGAACCACATATACTAGCATAGTCCTGTCCTTTTGCTACAGGGCCTGACCATGCCACGGGGCCACGCAGCTAAGGCCTTTCCTTATATCCAGCATCCAACATTTCACAGATGGGGAGTGAGAACTTGGTTGAGGAAACAGCCAAGATAAGGGGTGAGGGCCAGGGGTTCAGATTCTTATACTTTCCTACCTCTCCCCCAATCCCTGTCGTCCATGGTAGCTTATCTGGGAAGGGTCAGGACTCCAAGGGAAAACTAGGGTTCCCCCACCCACCACCTCCTCACCAGAGACCACCAGAGCAAAGAGGAACACGAGGAGCCTGAGCAGCACCAGGATGACCTGAAGACACAGACAGCAGAGGAGGCTTCAGAAAGCTAGGCTGTTTGTCTGACTCACTCTGTTGCCAGGTCAGTTGCTCAAACATAGCTGGGCAGGTGGGACTCCTGGGCCTCCCAGATTCTATCCCCGCCCATTCCTGGTGCCTGAGTTCTAGACCTCTGTCAGGCTTCCAGAGGCTCAGAATATCCCATTTTCCATTGCCCTCATTCATTACAACTCTGAGGGCATGGAAGGAGAGGAGGATTAAGGTTCAGATGAGGAAACTGGTAATGCAATCCTTGGAGATAGAGCAATCACAGCACCCAGGAAAATTGGGCCCAGGACCTGCTACCCCACAGAGTCTCAACTCCAGCTGGACCCCCTCTATTAGAACATTATCTGCCTATAAAAAATGAGCCCAACCATCAACAAAATCTCTGAAAACTTGCTGGGTGTGGTGGCTCACATCTGTAATCCCAGCACTTTGGGAGACTGAGGTGGGAGGATCACTTGAGCTCGGGAGTTCGATATCAGCCTGGGCAACAAAGTGAGACCCCATCTTTACAAAAAATTAGTTGGGTGTGGTGATCCAGGCCTGTAGTCCCAGCTACTTAGGAGGCTGAGGTAAAAGGACCGCCTGAACCCAAGAGATCAAGGCTGCAGTGAGCCATGATTATGCCACTGTACTCCAACCTGAGTGACAGAGCAAGACCCTGTCTCAAAAAAAAAAAAAAAAAAAAAAAAAAAAAGCTGTCTACATCCAATAAGCAAAAGGAATCCTTTATGATAGAAATACAAATACTGGTTACCGTTGGGAATATCAATTGGATAGGACACCAGATGGCATCCAGGAGTTGCTGAGGATATTCTGTATCTTTATCTGGGTGGCAGCTGCACAAGTATCTACAGATTTTAACATTTATTGAGCTATAACTCTGAGATCTGTCCATTTATTGTATTTGTATGTCATTTTTTAAAGTTTTCTGGCCAGGCACAGTAGCTTATGCCTGTAGGGGAGGCCAAGGCAGGAGGATCGTCTGAGATCAGGAGTTCGAGACCAGCCTGTACAACATGGTGAAACCCTGTCTCTTAAAAAAAAAAAAAAAAAATTAGCTGGGTGTGGTGGCACATGCCTGTAGTCCCAGTTACTTGAGAGGCTAAGATAGGAGGGTCACTTGAGCAAAGAGATCGAGGCTGCAGTGAGCCAAGATTATGCCACTGCACTTCAGCCTGGGCGACAGAGTGAGGCCTTGTCTCAAAAAAAAA